TGCTTTTTTGAAGCATATCTTTAAAACACTTCTGGCATCTTCCAAGTTTTGAAAAACAGCAACAGCAAATGGTATGTAAAACTAGATAATAATTGTTTCTAATACTATTTCTCTAATTGCCTTACAATCCACAGGCCAATCAAGTTCTTGCGGACTGTGTCCACCTGAAGTCCTGTTCCCTTCTCCAGCATAGCAAATACACAGAAGGCTGTTAATTGCAGTAACGCTAATTAAAAGACAAAAAAACGTGACTACGTTAACAGTGAAATTGCCAATTAGCACATAAGGCTCTCTTATTACTGCTGCTGCATGAAACGTGCAGCCCAAAGTGGACAGCAGTCATAAAAACAAAAGTCATTTCAAAAAAGCCAATAGGCCACATTTTCAGCTTACTTCAGAAGTTCTGCTGGAATCAGTAGCTGAGAAGTTGACCTACAGGAAAGAAATAAATTCCTACAACATTTTGAAAAAAAACCTAAAGGAAAATAGTGCCATTTTCCACATCTGCATTCACAATGGTTTTCAGAGGAAAGAGTACTTGCATTGGTGTAGACCCTAGAAAATATATATTAAAAAAAAAAAAAAAAAAGGGGCCAAAAAGCATAATGTTTCAGTGGACGATTTCCCCTGACTTTATATTCCAATAAGGATTCCTCATTAGGTACAAATGGATACTGAAAGCAGTCCAGGTGATCCTAGTTTCCTTTATTCTTTAGAAGGAATATTTATTCTTGTGTCCTCCAGTCTCTTTCAACGACCATTTTATGAAAGTTAATTCAGATCTCCACAACCCTAGAGCTGCTTACATAAAGTGACTGGTCTCTTCATACAGTCTGTATTTCCTCAGGTTTCTCTCTTTTTGTATTTATTTTCTTTTTAAAGGTTTTGAATTCTAATTCAGAGGTCTCATGGTAAATAAAACTGAAATATTTTCAGCATTATCTTCCTTGTGGAACTGGAGTATATATTTGTTTTTCAATTGCTCCCCTTTAATCAAGCATTTTGTTGACCATAATCAATTTCTTCGCTGAGGAGAAAAATGTGCAATTATCTACAATGAAGAAGGTGTGTCTAAGGAATAGGGTGGGGGGAAGAGAAATCAATGGAACCATCTGTCTGACATTCCTACAACATTATAAGAGACTTGTAATTAACTGCTTGCCTACCAAAGTCTGCCAGCTTTAACTCCCCCGTGTCACTGATCAGAAGATTCTGTGGTTTCAGGTCCCTGTGCAAAATGTAACGCTGGTGGATGTAAGACAGTCCTCGCAGCAACTGAAATAAAAATAACTGAAAAAGAGGGGGACAAAAAATGACCTCCGTTAATATTTTGCATATAACCACAGGTGATTTCTTCACAATATGCAGGGTCCTTGCATATTGTGGTAACATTGTGTCAGAATTCCTCCCAAACTAGTGTAACTCCCACCCAAATTTAACACAACATTTCCATCTAAAAAATATGTACTTTGCAAAGACTAAACCAAGCTTCCAAGCCCTACTATATCATAGATCCAATTTGCCTGCTTTAAGAAGAACAAGAGCAATACAAGCATGTGCAGAAGGCTCAAATTCTACCAAATTATAATTATATTCCATTTACTCATATGGCCTTAGAGATTAGGTGGTAGCCTAAAGACAGATGTGTATCTTCACTAATTATAGGAAACAACAGTACAGGGTGGAGAGGGATGGGGAGATAAGGCTGGGGGATGGGACACTGGAGCTAAAACAAAGAGAAATTAATAGTATAACAACAATGCCTGTGTACCCAACCCAAGGAAATCTGCAAGTATGATAGGTTTTTCTCCTTCAAAGTTTTTTTTAATGGGAGTTGCTTATGTATTTTTCATTAGGATGTAATAATTCTCACTGAACCTAAAGATGACTTTTGAAACCTACTTCTTACAGTCTAAGGTAAATTTAGATAGGAATCTAACTCATCTCCCGTGTTTCTTTTGACCCTTCACTGGACTTTACAAATGCTTTCCCTAGAGCAAAGCATTGATATTGTGTATTTCTGTAATTTACAATTATGAACAAAGAGCTGGATGATGAAGATCTTTTGTTCTCCGCTTTTCATCTCCTCTCCCACCATTCTCCTGCATCCTTATTGGCACCTGCTGTGAAAGGCTGTAAGCATTACTCTCATGGACTTTGTTAACACAAAGGGTGAACTATCATTTCCCAGGAGTTTTCTTTGCAGTTTTGAAAAACCCTAATATACAGACTCCCTCCCCGTTATTGCCTGAAATATTTTAAGAAATACTACAGTTTCCAAATGGCAATGCAACAAGCCTTTGTAAAGCCAAACGTGGAGGATTCAAGACTGGATATGGACCTCGTGCCTCACAGCTCAGCGGCCGGTGAAACGTGCTCTCTCGGAAGATGTGGAAACCACACCACAGATTTGGGAAAAGTCAACCCAGGCACATGAGAATTTCTAATTAACTTGCAACACAAGCATCCTATTTAGTGACTGTTGAAGTAAGGAGACATTATAAAAGGGGTTACAAAACCTGATTATAGAAGAGAATAAAGGCTGACATGAAAGAAACAGAAATGTCATGTTACTGAAGTTGAAATGAATTTAATTGCATTTCATTTCTTCCTCAAGTGCAGACACAATACACTGTATGTTTAGCTATTTAGCCAGGGCACAAAGAGCCATATCAATCACCTTCTTGCCAGGGTTGGGTCTAACAATGTGCTGAGGAAACCTAAGAGTAAAATACAGAAACAAAAGAATAGCAGGAAAGTCATAAGTAACATGCACATTCCTTTTTGAATTGTGGTTAAAATGGAACTCGTGGGACACGAAAACTATTTTAATAAGTGCAGGAAGAAGAAACAGCTTTCATTACAGCCTTCTATTATAAGTTATATTATATTAAATTACTTCAAAATAATATTTTTAATATAAAAAGATAGAGAAAATATCCAGTTTGCTAGGCTAAATCACTAAATAAATGGTATTTAACTTCAAATATTATTTTTAAATATGCAAAGAAATTTCAATTATCATGTTATCTGACAGCACTGTAATCTTTATAACTCAAAATGTATTTATTAATGTGGACTTTCATTTGGCTTTAATGCAGAGAGTCAAGTGATTTGATACAACAATTTCACAGCTAAACAGAGAAGAAATGTCTACTCTTGAGGACAGCTCTGGAATGTAGTTTTATTTCAAACTTGTAGACATGCTGTACTCATCAAGTACTTCCACAAAAGTCAATTAATTCACTCACACACACTGTATCAAATGTTTCCTCTTTGGAGGAAGATCATGAAAGAGCAGGGGGAAAAAAAAATCTTCCTGAATTCATTTACAGGGTAAACTCAGCCATTGTTTTGGTGCCTTCTCTTTTCCTCTTCACCTTTGTTTCTATTTGGTAATACTAAATGCGATAAGATTTAAGTGAAAACACAAGCCTAACGCCCAGCAGTAAGGCATTCAGCAAACCACAGGCTCTTTGGGATTGCCTGGGAAGAGAGAACAGTAAAAGAGGCTCTCCATTCCCAATGGTTCCCCACTCCACAAAAAGAAAAGACAAATTGCAAGGAACTGCTTCTGATGTCTCTGGAAACACTTCTGCCTTCTCACAGTCAAGATCCCTCCTCTGTCTTTGGGGAAAACCCTCTCCAAGAAACGTGTTCCCCTTCAAGACTGTGTGCATTACCTTCACAAGGACAGAAACGAATGCTGGATGAGGTACCACCACCTCTTACTCATATACCTGATCCGAAATTGGCATACCACCTATTGTGGTCGTACTCTGCTCTTACTTGCTCCTTCCTCCACTTTGCTCAATTCTGATTGCTGTGAAACCTCAGCCTGGGGCTTCTGTCGTGTTTTTGAACACGCAACTGAACTGTCATTTCTCCAAGGCCACAGGATGGCAGCCCTGTGGACCAGAGGACAAGTCTAAAAGGAGTCAATGGCAAATTCCACGTGCATTTCAATGGCTGGTTGTGAGGGGAGAAACAACACAGATTCATGGTTCTTAAGCTTTTAAGTTAGCAATTTTAATTTTTGCATGGTCATACACAAGACTATAAGTGTCAAATAACCTGTAATAAACACATTGGGATATCACTCGGGTATAGTTTGCAGCTTATTAGTAAGAACAGAGGTTTTGGTGATTGTGCTGGGTTTAAGTGGAGGGGTTTTGGTAGCAGGGGAGGAGCTGCAGAGAGAGCCCCTGTAACTTCCCGGGCTCCAAAACCAGTCAGACCAGTCTCTGGCCAGGTCGGACCTCCATCCTCCTCAGGTCAAGGCTGAGCCATCAGCACCTCTGCGAATGCTCTATTTAAGATGGGGAAAAAGGAGCCCAAATCACGGGGGCTGGACCTGCAGCAAGGAGAGGGGAGAGGCGCTGGGCTGCCAGTGCTGGGCGAGCACCACCCGGCTGGAGATGGCCGCAGTGGCGCAGCTTGGAGAGCACCAAAGTGCCCTGCTCCCAGGGCACCCGCTGGGCAGGGCTTGTACTGCGGGACTGCCGAGGTTCATTGGGCCTGGCATGGCTGCAGTGGAGAGAGGACTGAGATCTGAGAGAAATGGCCATGCAGACACTAAGGTCAGAGAAGATGGATCGGGAGGAGGTGTCGGAGCCGAGATTCTCCTGCAGCCCGTGGGTGGTGAGAACGGCAGCGGCCCTCCTGCTGCCTGTGGGAGAAATGGTGGAGCAGAGACATGCCTGCAGCCCATGGAGAACCTTATGCTAAGCAGAGATGCCTGTGCCTGAAAGATTGTAGAGAATTGTCTGCTGGGTACTGACGACGAAGCAGAGATGCATCTGAAGCCCATGGAGAACTCCACACCGGAGCGGGTGGCAGCTCCCTAAAAACCATGACTTTGCAGAAAAAGCCCATGCTGGAGCAATCTGATGGGTAAGGATTGCATCCTGCGGGAAGGACTCACATTGGCGAAGTCTGTGGATTGTCCCATGAGGAGGTAATCCACTGGAGCAGGCAAAAAGAGTGTAAGGAGTCTTTCTGCTTTAAGAAAGGAGCAGCAGCAACAACATGTGACAAACTGACCTGCAATCCCCTCGTTCCTCATCTCCCTGCACCACCGGGGAGACGTAAAGCTGGGAAGAAGGGAGAGGTGTGAGGAAGGTGTTTTTAAGATCTGGCTTTGTTTCTTGTTATCTTCTCAAGTAATTGTTACAAATGAAACTGATTTTTCCCCAAGCCTAGTCTGTTCTGCCCAGGGCCATGGTCAGTGGGTGATCCCTCCCTGTTCTTAACTGGACCCTCAGGCCTTTTGTTACATTTTTCTCCTCTCCATCCCACCGAGGGGGAGAAGTGAGTGAGTGACCTCGTGGTGGCTTAGCTGCCAGCTGGGCTAAACCACGATAGTGATAAAGCAAAAGACTCCCAAAATGACAAGGGTCATTGTGATGAGAGTTGGAAAAGACATAAAACAGGAACGAGATTTGTCTCTAGTAGTTAGGTTTTCAGCAAGACTTAACATTAGGAGGCTCAACACTTTACATTCAGATAAAAAAAAAATTTAATACTTGTACTTCACACCTTGCTTATTTATTATAGCCATGAAAAAACCCACCTTTTTTTTTCCCCTAACAGTTAATGCAGCTCTCACTTTAATGAGCAACATATTTTAATGAAGAATTTTCATTATCAGTGAGAAAAATCCATGCAGGTCAAAGCTAATTCAGGGTTTATGGACTGTGATATTAAAAGAAAATTAGCAGTTCTTAAAACTTACAAGAGGAAGCAGTCAACTCCACAAAAAGGTTAGCACCTACGCAGTCTTTCAAGTACATTGCCTTGATAGCCACTTGAGCTACCTACACTGTTTGACCAAATGCCTGTTCAAACCAACTACATTTTCTGAGAGACTTGCCAAATGCCTGGATGAACAGCCCTGCTTTCATGGTGTTCTTCATGAGCCTGGGTGAGTGTACAACCTAGACCATTACAAGCACACATCTATCAGCTGCAAGGTGGCTCATGTGCAGCAGATTGTTGGCTTCTGAAGGCCACATAGGATCTTGAGCTCTTCTCATCCAAATGATCTTACAAGCTAAACACTGACACTGGCCATCCAAAACACATCTAACAGGTGGGTCTGATGGGAGTTAACACTTTCTGACCAAGGTTCAGAAAACTCTGATGAGTCTAATGATAAAGGGGGATACTCATGTACAGGTGATCTGTGCAGAAGGGCTCAGATGATGCCACATAGTTGCTCTCCATTCCCAGAGATGGTAGGGAGCTTCTGGCAAAGGATGCTGTGGTAAGTAAAGAGCAGAAAGAAATTC